GCTGCCCCAGCTTGAAGGCAGCGAGCGGCCTGGAAGAGCACCAAAAGCCGCAGGCGAGACCTGCGTGTCAGAGGGCGATTACGTCTGGGGACAAGATTGCTCTTTACTCTGTTTGTTTGTTTTTTTCTCCCGCCGAAAGCAGGATCCTGGTCCAGGCCTGCTGGCTCTGCCCGCCAGAACTGTAGTTAGCATCTTCGGTAAACGGCAGCGTTTGCGTCTGTGAAATTACAAGACCTTACTGTGACATTTTCCTAAGAAATTCGCCTCCCCGAGGAGGAAGATGTGTTACAAAGCCTGCTCTGAAGGGCTTCTTTTCTTCTTGAAAAGCAATTGATGCTTGTGGAGCGAAAATTTCCCAGAAGAAACTCCCAGACTGCGTTTTCGCTGGCGCTAATGCCGTTTTACATTGCATTGGTGCATAATGGAAAGTCTTGAACTGGATAGAAATACAAATGATCTTTGCTGTAGGGCCCCTTTGTTTTGCCTGAGCTCTGAAAAGCAGGCCTGACTATTTGAATTGTATTTTAATGACAATGATAGTTTAACCAGAATTATTTTATTAAGCTTTTAGTGTATCACAAATCCAAGAGCAAAAATCCCTGGACTGCACGGTATCCTCTAAAGTAACACGAAATTAAAAAAAATGAGCTAAAATGATTACTCCTTTACTTTTACACAGTAACAAGAATCTAGTTCTCAGAAACTCCCTCTTCCACAGCAAAAGCAGGTTACTGCTGTTTCTCCTGCACTTCTTAACTGGGTCACTCGCTGCTGGGTCTGAACATCACGCTGACACGAACCTGCATCAGCCGCCCTCCTGGAACAGCTGCCACATGTAAAGCAGCGACAGCCTTCTTTAAATATTTACTATTTTACCAGCAGAGACCAGCACAGACTCAGCAGGATCATATGAACTGCGCTTTTGAACAACCTACTTTTTTCTAAACTGCAGCTTTATTATGCAGTGCAAATTGAATATAGGTTGTTTCAGCTTCTCGTTATTCCTCAGTTTCTACTAGTTTTCCAGTTCATGGTAGGAAGTGATGGAGCAAGTGTCATCAGGAGCACGTATACAGGCCTGCATTTACCGAGGACTTGTCAGGAACACGGATCATGGCAGACTGGACTTTTAGGAGAAAACTTTTCCAGTATTTGTTTCAAAAGATACAACCATGACAGATGCTCTGTTACTGAAACAGCTTTTAATTTATGTACTGTTGATTACCTGTTTTTGTGACTATTACGCATCTCTATTGAAGGAAACTGAAATTAAGTCACGTTTTGTCCATCTTCATGTGCTCTTTGGTAGCAGCTCACAATATTGCACTGCAACTGAGGATGCCGTTATGAGGCCACTGTAATGTTTTGCATCTCTTGAATTGTTATAATTCCCTTAGCCCTCCGCCGCCTTCTTAGACAATTAGTAAAGTTCCTGAAGTGACTTTTAAATGCGTCTAATGCCTTATTTCAGCTAAGAAAATGAAAATGGACAATTCAGTAGGGGCGGCTGATGAGATTCCAATTGAACTGTGTAAGTTGAGGATGGTGACTCAAGAAGGAAAAGATTCAAAAATGCATTTAGCCTATGCGCTCCCGTTACCACTCAGACAATGCCAGCACTGACGTTGTAAAATGACACCAACTGACCAAACCTTCCTGTGGTTAGGGGCCAACCACATCATGTTTACACAGTTCCTTATTCCTGTTTATTCTATTTTGATTCCTGCAAAAGTGACCAGCAGAGGGCCACCTTCTTTTACAATACTCTAATGAGAGAAAAGGAAGCAGATGATTAAGTAAAAATGTAAAAATTAAGGAAAAATGTAGGTAACTCCGAGAAGATGTCAGGATGGACAGTAAGGAAAACTATATTAAAGGTACTTGGCTATGATCTGAATTAAAAGTGTTTAATGTCAGGTTTCATACATATTTTAAAAGATTTTTGCAATATCTCAAATATTTATATGTGGTTGACCAAGTTCAAACTTGATGTGAACAGCTGGCACAGCAGAGAAAATAAGCCTGCTTACATGGAGTTTGAGTTCAACTTATAATACATTTTAAAGGGAAAGGAAGACTTTACAATCCACTTATAGTACATTCCTATTTACAAGACAGGTTTGGCATGAGAAGTGTAATCTGTTTTACAGGTAAGATAAATGTTCACAAGCATTTATGGTATCTCCACTTCTGAGTGGCCAAAGTCAACTGGGAGTCCCACCTCTGCCAACGATAAACCTGATTTACTGAAACGACACCCTCTTCAATATTCCCCACAAGGAGATACACCATAGGACGATGGCTCTGAGTCATCTTCTCTGTGCAGTTTTCATTGATAAGCAGCCACTGTTGTATCATATTCTGAGTTTCATAAGGCAGAAGTGAGCCCTGGGTAATGAATTCCACTTGACATTCAATGTTATACTCTCGGTCACCAAGTACTGTTCTTTTTTTGGACAGCTTTACTTTCACTGCTAAGGAAAAAAAAAAGAAACACAAATCACTCCATCTACTCAAATGTAGTAAGGAACACTTTCAGTTAAAGTGGGAAAATTCCTTAAAAATACTGTCATAATTTATGGTGACAGAGTATGGTGATGTCTTCTCCAGCAGCAATATGAAATTTTAAATATTTTTAAAATAAAGGTTATGTTGTTGAGAATTTTTTCACTGAATTGTGCAACTAGGAAAACATGTTTTCCTAAAGGTGACTAATATATTTTTATCATCATGGTGTATGCTAGACTTTGTGGATAATTAGATATGCTAAGTGTTATTCTAGCATCACAAGGCAGCCCAAGTCACCCAGTCAGTTCTACTGAAATTCACTTGTTGATGTTATGAACCATTCAGCAAAAATAGCTGGTAATTCTTGCTGATGCCACCCATTATAGCTATTCCCTTTTCATTATAGGCATCTACTTCTCCCACTTAACTCGGCCAACACTAGATCTAAAGTCAGGGACGACGTCACTGAGAGTCTCTGCATTTTTTT